AACGGAGCTCGTATGCCAAAGTTATGATTTTCGCAAGTTTTGGCACAAAAATAAAGAAAAATAGGAAAACCCGGGCAATTTCGCATGCCACGTCACCCTCGCACGTGGCAGCTGTTGAGTGGACCGAAGCCATGCGTGGCACCTCCTGATTCGACCAACTCCGCGGTCCAATCCTACTCGGACAGCCTCGCATGAGACACACCGGACCTCACCCTCGTACGCTCCTCGGATGCACTCCTTCGCACGTGGCTTCTTTCTACTAGACCGAAGAATGGTCCAATCCGAGCCTCCCATGTCTGCGAGCCTGCGGTCCGAAGTAGCCCAACCCTTTGCCACCTGTCCGATGCGTGGCAGCCTCGCATAGCCTCGGATCCGAGGCTTCGGCCTATATAAGGCATACGAGGGTTCTGAACTAATTTACACTTTTCACCCCAATTTTCATTCTCTTTCACATTTTTTCCACTTCCACAAACTCATATACAACCCCTAAAGCCCCGGTATCAAGTCTCGAACCCTAAGCAAGCCTCGAAGCCATGAGATTCCCGAGAAGTAACCTCTCTCCTGTCAAAACTCTGCCCAATTTGAGCCGGTTTCTCGACAAATAAACTCCTTTTCGTGAAACGAAACTCTGTCCGGTTCACCATCTATCAAGTGAGTACATACCCCCGTATTTTCATAATTTCTACTGTTTTAAGGGGGGAATACAAGCATAACACAAGAACTTTGTGTTATAAAATCATGATTTCAAATCATGATAAAACAACATTAAATCATTAAAAATACTCAAAACATTAAACTCTTTTATAAACTTATATTTTTCCCCAAAAATTCATATTTGTATATATATATATATATATATATATATATATATATATATATATGAGATTTAAAAGACTTAGGACTGATAACTCATTCTGGGTCCTTTTCCTTGTTTGGATGTGGGCTTAAAGTACCGGTTATTTGTCCGAGTGACGTTTAAATTTTACTTATATATAAAATTGTATATGTATATAAATATAATAGTTATTTCATCAGATTAACTACCTTTGTAACATGCTGAGAAAGGGATTACATGCAAACATGGTTAAATACACAGTCAGAAAGTACATATAGATTATAATAGGTATAATTTATACATAGAACAATAACTCATGATACAAGTATACTAGAATACACAGTCTTACAAGAAACTAAGGTTTTGATACAGAACAAATCAAGGTTTACACTTATCAAATACATGTTTGGAATACTAATTCAAGAACATATTGTCAATCATTATTTCAGAATGATTGGGTTTTGATTCAAGAACATATTGTCAATCATTATTTCAGAATGATTGGGTTTTCAAAACTAATATACATGTAACGTTTATATGCTTTTTATGAGACACTCAACATAGGAAAAGTCCTGACATTATAACCAGAATCTCCAGCCGGGGATCGAAACAAGTGTGTGTAGATCTATATGGGGATTGACAACCCCGCACTCAGGCTGCTAGCTACAGTCAGATGAGTGGCAATTGTTATCACCAGTTTAAATGCTCACAAAGCGTTTGTTTCAGGCCATCAGTCATAGTATGGTTATAATAACTCATTAAAAAGATATTAACAATATGTTAGTGTATAAATAACTAAACGAAAGTACACCTTCAAAGTACCAGTTTACAGAATACAAAATACAAAGTTTCAATACAGTTTTCAACAACAGCTGGTGGAGCCAGGCACACTCTCAATTACAAGTTTTCATAAGTAATACAAATACAAAACATTAATACACAGAGAACGGTTTTATGGGAATAAAACTACTTTTCATATACAACGGAAAATATAGGATTTTCTGGAACAAGTTACATATACAAGATACAGAGACATCCTTTAAACATAAACACTTATGCACTCACTCAACTTTGATACTCTCTTTTCAAATTACTTGTATTCCCAGGGAAATAATACACAGGTACTCCCCGAGCTTTTAAGAAGATGGAGCTATGTTGAGTCATATCTTCTTTTGTATAACTATATTTTGGTTCAATATACAATGATTGAACACATGTAAATACTTATACCTTTAAAATACAATGGTTGTTTGTACTTTGATTACTATGATGCATGTGTTATGATACTACAATTGAAGTCCTCCACCCCCGGACGTTTCCGCCGTCTGGTTTGGGGTGTGACAGATTGGTATCAGAGCATTGTTTATAGTGAACTCAGTATATCAATCCATAAAAGATATATAAACTATAAATACATCGGGGCAAGGAGCTCTTACTACAAGTATACTTTTTAAAGATTTTAGTATTTTTATAAGAAGTATACTAACACTCATACCTACAAGTACAGTATCACAGTCATAAGAACACACTCATACTTACAAGTACAATATCACAATCATAAGAACTTAAAAGTATTTGGATGTTGAACACTATAGTCAAACCTGGGCAGTTATGTAATCATATCTGGAATTAATATAGCCTGATCAACTATATTGATTTGAGATATGACCAACATGTGTTTGGGAGTGATAGTGGTGTTGCGACATGTCTAAAACTTACCATACACCTACAGAAGAACTATAGAACAGAAAACACACACTAAAATACTACGGAGAGTATTTTACTAACCTTACTTCTAATATAGAACCTATGGCTGCACCCAATTTACCTGGAGACCCCTACAATCCACAGAATGCAGGCTGGATCACAGACTCAGACGAAGAACCCTTTGAGGACAGCGAATCAAGTGGTACAGATACAGAGCCACAAGTCTGCAACCCTGGGGAGCGTCCCCTAAGACAAGAGAAAGAAGAACCAATACCTGAGTGGGGCCAATACATAAACCATTGGAGTCGACAAGACGGCCAACGCCCTCCGTACGGAATGACACGAGGTTTATATAACGTCTCTAGAGGAGGAACTGCCTGTGGTACTGTTGACCATCGTCGACCTGACACTCTGTCACTTACAGGTTTCATGACTCTATTTTGTAAGAACACTCAAGTATAACAAAACAAAGATTTATTGATAAAAGAGCTCCCGAAATGGGAGTACTCCTATAATATTTTACATCTCTCCCTTCTAAGGGAGATTTTTACTCACAAGACATTAAAAGTATATCTTTATGTTGAGAAATACATCAGATGCATCTCTTCACTCCCAGAATGGATTCAAGAATCAACTCTTTCTCCATACCACTTTCTGGAAATTGGTCTTTCTAAAGCCAATAGAGAGATTGAACAATCTCAACCAATGGAAGATAAAGATCTACCTTTCACAGAAATTCTTCATCCTAACCGCGTCAATGGTTTAAGAAGAATATCAGAAAAAATCATTGAAATTATCTCTGGTTCAAAAAAGAAGATTAATTATACCGATTCACATTGTATAATTACAAGCTGGAGTTACAACAACACCAGCCAAGAAGATCTTCGTCAAGCCTCCAAGTTTGGAGAAAAATTCATGAACAATAGCATGGAAGTATCCAATGCTACACGCCAACACTTCTGCCGACATGCAGAACAACTTTTCGAAGAACATCTTTGTCACTTTTGTGATTGCAAAGATTCGGAGACAAAGGAGGGACCCCCCTCTGAAGATGACAAATCCTCATCATCTTAAAGAAAGATGCTTCACGTGTCAAATGGCCCCTCCACTCAAAATAATAATGCCTTTTCTCCATTATTAAAAGCTTTCCAGCTGTCCACAATAATGTAATCTTTAGTGGATAAAAACGTCATGCCTGACATAATAGGCAAGGATCAGACCCTCTCAATATATCTATAAATTGAGAGTTATGTTTTGTAGAAAAAGGATCATCGCAATAACGAGTGCAACAAAACACTCTCTATCTTGTAAATTTTCAGTTCAATGTCTTGTGAGTAAAAATCTCCCTTAGAAGGGAGAGATGTAAAATATTATAGGAGTACTCCCATTTCGGGAGCTCTTTTATCAATAAATCTTTGTTTTGTTATACTTGAGTGTTCTTACAAAATAGAGTCATGAAACCTGTAAGTGACAGAGTGTCAGGTCGACGATGGTCAACAGTACCACAGGCATGAGGCCAACAGGGAAAGCAACCACATAGACAATGATTGACACAGGCTGGCTTGAATAGTTTCTATCTATGTAAGTAATACTCCTACTACAAAACACTTATTGATTAATGAGTTTTCTCTTTACAATTTTTTGCATCTATTTCCTTCTAAACATACAAAATATAATAAACAAATTCCGTACACCAACACTGGTATCAGAGCCTTGTTAAAAAATGGTACTACATTATAATAAAACACTTTATAGTGAATTATTTGAAGAAATTCGTAATACAGAGAATGAGATTTCTCAACATAAAGATATACTTTTAAGTAATAAAAAAGATTTAGTGCATATAAATTTCAGAATTCTACAAGCACAAAATAAACATACTCACGAATATATACCAACCATGGTTAATATACGTAAGTACCTCCTTCATAGGCAAAAAATGCATCAAGAACACCTTGATAAAGCTTTAAACTCAGTTTCAGAACTCAGAAAAAGGATTTTAACTTGTTAACATTTCTTAAACATGAATAAAGAAATTTTCAACAATTCTGAAGAAAATGATTCAGAAGAAAAACAAATCCTAACTTATGTTGAGGATGAAGACGGCTTTCATGCAAACCTCTTAATAAAACAAGATCTTCTCTCTCGGGTCAAGAAAACAGATTTAAAAATAAAGAAAGAAAACATTTTCAAAAATGTTCCTTCTAAACTTAGTATTTTAAATCCGCTTAAAAGGAAAAATGAAATTTTCTACTTTGTTAGTACTAAAGAAATGTCTGTAGACATAAAAGACACAATAGGAGCTGTCTTTCTACCCCTTTTGACTAAAGAACAAATAAACAATAACTTAAAAAGTATTCCAGTTGAGATTAGATCAAAAGTAAGAATGGTCCATATCGGAGCTGTAAAAATTTTGATAAAATCCCAATTCCAAGCAGGAATAAATTCTCCCATAAAAATGGCCTTAATTGACAACAGAATTACTGACAGACAGGACTGCATCTTAGGTGCTGCTAGGGGAAACCTTGCATACCAAAAATTTATGTTTTCAGTCTATCCAAAATTTGCTCTAGATTTGAAATCTGCAAATATAGATAAAACTTTATCTTTTATACATCACTTTGAAAGAAGTGACCTTATGAACCCAGGTGATAAACCATTCACCATAACCTATCTCATAGGATATGCCCTGACCAATAGTCACCATAGCATAGACTACAAGAAAGACGAGTACATCGAACTTGATGATGTCTTTTCAGAAATAGGCCATGTCAAAGATAAACAATTCTGCGACATAAATCCTCAAGAAAACTCTTGGGTTTTAAATATAGCTAGAAACAAAAAAGCTCTAGGAGAAACTCTTAGACCAAGAATTTCTATGGATTCACTCCATATAGGAGAAAGCTCAGAAAGAAAAGATAGTAACTTAATAAGAAACATGTCTTTAAAAATTGATAGTCTACGTCAGAATATCAAACAAATCTCTGAGGTAATAAATGAGTAATAAATAGATTTTCCTCATTTTTATAAAAAAGGTAAAACAGTAAAAATCAAAACCCTTGACGACAATACTGAAAAGAAAGAATACGTTTTCTCAACTTCTGGAAAAGCTGATATTCTTCTTAAACCAGAGCCTTCTTAAAAGAAAGAACACTTTACACTGGTATCAGAGCCTTGTTAAAAAATGGTACTACATTATAATAAAACACTTTACAGTGAATTATTTGAAGAAATTCGTAATACAGAGAATGAGATTTCTCAACATAAAGATATACTTTTAAGTAATAAAAAAGATTTAGTGCATATAAATTTCAGAATTCTACAAGCACAAAATAAACATACTCACGAATATATACCAACCATGGTTAATATACGTAAGTACCTCCTTCATAGGCAAAAAATGCATCAAGAACACCTTGATAAAGCTTTAAACTCAGTTTCAGAACTCAGAAAAAGGATTTTAACTTGTTAACATTTCTTAAACATGAATAAAGAAATTTTCAACAATTCTGAAGAAAATGATTCAGAAGAAAAACAAATCCTAACTTATTTGAGGATGAAGACGGCTTTCATGCAAACCTCTTAATAAAACAAGATCTTTCTCTCTCGGGTCAAGAAAACAGATTTAAAAATAAAGAAAGAAAACATTTTCAAAAATGTTCCTTCTAAACTTAGTATTTTAAATCCGCTTAAAAGGAAAAATGAAATTTTCTACTTTGTTAGTACTAAAGAAATGTCTGTAGACATAAAAGACACAATAGGAGCTGTCTTTCTACCCCTTTTGACTAAAGAACAAATAAACAATAACTTAAAAAGTATTCCAGTTGAGATTAGATCAAAAGTAAGAATGGTCCATATCGGAGCTGTAAAAATTTTGATAAAATCCCAATTCCAAGCAGGAATAAATTCTCCCATAAAAATGGCCTTAATTGACAACAGAATTACTGACAGACAGGACTGCATCTTAGGTGCTGCTAGGGGAAACCTTGCATACCAAAAATTTATGTTTTCAGTCTATCCAAAATTTGCTCTAGATTTGAAATCTGCAAATATAGATAAAACTTTATCTTTTATACATCACTTTGAAAGAAGTGACCTTATGAACCCAGGTGATAAAACCATTCACCATAACCTATCTCATAGGATATGCCCTGACCAATAGTCACCATAGCATAGACTACAAGAAAGACGAGTACATCGAACTTGATGATGTCTTTTCAGAAATAGGCCATGTCAAAGATAAACAATTCTGCGACATAAATCCTCAAGAAAACTCTTGGGTTTTAAATATAGCTAGAAACAAAAAAGCTCTAGGAGAAACTCTTAGACCAAGAATTTCTATGGATTCACTCCATATAGGAGAAAGCTCAGAAAGAAAAGATAGTAACTTAATAAGAAACATGTCTTTAAAAATTGATAGTCTACGTCAGAATATCAAACAAATCTCTGAGGTAATAAATGAGTAATAAAATAGATTTTCCTCATTTTTATAAAAAAGGTAAAACAGTAAAAATCAAACCCTTGACGACAATACTGAAAAGAAAGAATACGTTTTCTCTACTTCTGGAAAAGCTGGTATTCAAACAATTGTAAATCATTGCAATAATCTCAACCAGATCATTGCAAGATGTCTCTTAAAAACTTCGAAAATATGCCATTACCTTGGTATTTCAAAAGATATTTCTAAAAATAAAATACCTTTTAACCAATTTAAAAACGATTTAGCCATTTTGGTTAAAAATAATCTTGATAAAAATAATTTTGAAAAATTCTTCGAAGTTATTGAAAGACAAAATAAACTAACTATCAAGCTAACCCAGTCTATTGACAAACATTCTATTCTTTTAGAAAACTCTTTAAAAAACAACCATTTTGTTGAAGAAGTCGCCAAAAAGGCAAATATTGAAGGCACTCTTAAAGAAAACAACCTTAAGATCACTAATATACAAGAGCAGTTAAAACAACTGATAGGATGACCTCGATACCCGAGCTAAATAGATCAATCAACCTCCTTAATGAAAAAATAGATGGGCTGATTATAAACTTTGACTTAACGGCCATTAAATACGTAACCACTACACAGTTAGAAGTAGCATCTGCAAAAATTATTGCAGACATTACTAAAGAGTTATCTGAAAAGATTGACTCTTGCCCTTGTAATAAAGACATTCTTGAACACATCAAGAATATTCCCATCATAGAACAAAAAACCAAAACTGGAAAATATTCAGGTCTTAAGAAATACTCACCTCCCAATCCAAGTATTGGAAACCCTGACTTAGGAAGCTCAAAAGACTCCCAGAAAATCGATATTTTCAAAAAAGAGCAAAAATGAAAGAAACAATCTCTGAGAAACTTGAGAAATATTTCTTTAACCTTCAATATGAAGATTATGATAAGGCTGACCAAAAACTTATTCAGCTTTTATCTTTAGAAACTGAAGAATGCGAAGAATTGTATCAAAAAGAACCCAAACTTTTTGATCAATATTTTAGAATGACTAAAATAGATGAACCTGATACTGAATCAGAACAAGAAGATAACTTTAAGACTAATACAAAAACTGTAAAGTTCGAATATTCAGATATGGAAGATGATGAAGCAGAATCTTCTTATACAGCCGCTAGAAGAAGCAATAAAAAGAAATATGAGTTCAAAATGCCTGTCCACAATGGTATTCCAAATAGTGGTCAAGGATCCAATACGATCAATGTACTCAATATTGATTGTATCCAAGATCTAAAACTCAGAGAAAGAGTTGTAGAAAAATGGGTTACTGAGATTTCACTAATCTTACAGACAAACCCAGATGAATTTGAAAAAGCAAAAAATGTTCTACTACTTTTAGAACACAAAACTGATGGAATTGTGCAAAAATTCCTAAGAAACAATAATTGGAATGAAGAAATGCATGGTTCAGATCTTTTTGATAATATCATAAATGTCATATACACTACTTTCTTAGGTCTTGATTATATTTCTAATAAAGACTTCACCATTAATAAGAAAGTTGACATAGCAAGAGTTTCAATGACAAAACTCCAATTACATGATATTAGTCTTCTCGACAAATACACATGTATGTATGAATCATATCTGTATGATATTCCACAAAGAAGTGAATATGCGCAATGGATATCTGCTTACCTCATGAAAATTCCAATTATTGGAGAAACCTGTACAGACAGATGGAAAAAAGAAGTTACTGGAGAAATCCAGCAAACCAGTCTTTCTTATGCAACAAAAATTGCAAAAGAAGAAATTGATAGAATCTGTCAAGACAGATATAAACAACAAAAACTTAAAACAATAAGCAAAGATTGTTGTAGCATTCTCTCTGATTTCAAAAACTTTGATATTGGAAAGAAAAATTATAATAAGAAAAAGTATAAAAACAAAAAGAAATTCAAATCTTTTTGGAAAAAGAAAAGAAGAAAATTTTCACCAGGAAAATACTTCAAAAAACCTTCAAAAGAAACACCTAAGAAGAATACTTCCTGTCCGCAAGGAAAGAAAAAATGTAGGTGTTGGATCTGCAATGAAGAAGGACACTACGCCAATGAATGTCCAAATAGAAAAAAATACCCAGACAAAGTCAAGGTTTTACAAACCGCTAACAATGGGGGATTTGAAGCTCTTGAAGAAGAGTATGATGGTACACAACATGTTTTTATATATCATGTTGAGACAGAATCTTCATCAGACACTGATGAATACGAATCAACAACGGATGACTCAGACTAGTCCCATACAAACCCCACTTTTCAGAGAGGAGGAGATTAACCATTTTTGCGTAAACCTCCAGAAGATTGATGATTCCCTTATCATGAATCTTACTAATCCAAACTCTATCTATGTTTCTACTTTCCTTAACTTTAAAGGATATAAAAAATTTAGAGTACATTGTTTTGTAGACACAGGTGCATCTTTATGTCTTGCAAGCAAATTCATCATTCCGGATGAACTCTGGGAAAACGCTCCCAAAGAAATTAGTGCCACTATTGCAAATGGTGAAACCATAAAAATTAATAAAGTTTGTAGAAACATTAATCTCGAACTTTCAGGAGAACATTTCAACGTTCCCACTATTTACCAACAAAATTCAGGAATTGATATCATAATTGGAAACAACTTCTGTCAAGTTTATGGACCATTCATACAATGGATAGATAGAATCGCCTTAGGTTACAGAAGCCTATAGCAAAGGAAAACCAGGTTTTCTTGAAACTCAAGAAAAAGGTTCTAAAGAAAAACAAATTCCAGGTACTAATATAACCCATGAAGGGATTAATAAAGAAAAGATTATTTCTATTCAAACTACCAGGTTCAAACAGATTGAAGATCTTCTTGAAAAAGTTTGTTCTGAAAATCCTATTGATCCAAATAAAACCAAAGGATGGATGAAAGCTTCAATTAAGCTTATTAATCCCAAGACGGTTATTAGAGAAAAACCTATGGTTTACTCTTTACAAGATAGAGAAGAATTTTCCAAACAAATCAAGGAATTACTTGATATGAGACTAATTATAGAATCAAAATCCCCTCATATGTCTCCTGCCTTTCTTGTCAATAAAGAAGCAGAGAAAAGAAGAGGAAAGAAGCGCATGGTTGTCAATTACAAAGCAATCAATGATGCAACTATTGGAGACTCACATAATCTTCCCAATATGCACGAACTCTTGACTCTTCTACGAGGAAAAAACATTTATTCAAGCTTCGACTGCAAGTCAGGTTTCTGGCAAGTTCTACTTGATGAAGAATCGCAGCTTCTCACTGCCTTCACATGTCCTGATGGACTCTTTCAATGGAAAGTACTACCCTTTGGGCTTAAACAAGCTCCTAGTATTTTTCAAAGACACATGCAGAACGCTCTTCGAGGCCTTGAAGGTTTCTGCACTGTATACGTTGATGACATCATGATCTTCAGCAAAAATGAACAAGAACACTATGTTCATGTCACACAGGTTCTCAGAACTATTTTAAAATATGGAATAATACTTTCAAAAAAGAAAGCTCATCTTTTCAAAACAAAAATCAATTTTTTGGGTTTAGAAATAAATGAAGGTACTCATTGTCCTCAAAAGCATATTCTTGAACATTTACATGACTTTCCAAATGTTTTAGAAGACAAAAAACAACTGC